TTTTAGTAGAGACAGGGTTTCACTATGTGAGCCAGGATGGTCTCGATCTCCTGACCTTCTGATCCACCCACCTCGGCCTCCCAAAGTGCTATCCAACTATTTCTTTTCCATCCATCCACCCTCCTTCTTCTTCCCTCCTGCTTTCTCCCCACCCTCAATGGATTTAGCTGATTCTTCCTTAGTCTGTTCTTTCCATATGGTTATACACGCTGTGTCTTTTTCTCATAGTCATTACCTCAGGAATTTTAATATGCATGCTTAACAAGGTAATCAAAACACAAGGATGTTAGAACACTTTAATTCAGTCACTCACCGCCTGACTTGTATACTGTTGTTTCCAAAAACATTAGTTCTTTATGTTTTTTTCTTTTTCTTTTTCTTTTTTTTGGACATTCAAATTAGTGTTATTTTTGTATAGTTCTTTTAACAAGAAACATATGTGCAGAAAGAATATGTGAGGGCAAATTCTAGAATTCACTGCAGAATGTAATGTTGCATATACCTCAAGTGTTACATATTTTTCTATATGCTATCAAATAATATCAAATGAAAATTTAAATTTTTGCTACTTACCCCAAAACATTAAATAGAATTAGAAATATTAATTTCTTGAGGAATAAGCAATTAATTGAATATATTTTATGCCAAAGTCTGATTTTATTTCGACTTCAGAGAAGTCAAAGAAAGGTTCTATTATTCTAGGACCTTAATCACTGTAGCGTTAATAGAGGGGACCCAGTTTAAGTGGGCTAATATCTAATACCATGGGAAATAAATTGAGCATCTTTCTAAAGTGTGTGTTAGCACTTTTCAGAGTACTTGCTATGTGTTACGTAGAGTATCTTCTTAATCTCTCAGTCACTGCCCTACAGGGTGTTGGTATTATTGTCCCTCTTTTATTGGTAAAGAAAATGCAGAAAAGACATAGCTAATTAGTGGTTGCCAGGATTGGGGTTTAATTAATTCATTCATCTAGACTTTATTTTAAAGCAATATCTGTTTGGAAATATTCACAGCCCAGTCACTGAGAAATGGTAAAATTTCCACACTGTGTTCCTACTGTATTGGTTATCTGCTGCTAGATAACAAATTATCCAATGTTAGCAGCTTGAAGTAACACACATTTATATGATTTCACAGTTTATGGGGTCAGGAATCTGGGCATGGTGTAGCAGGGTCCGTTACTAACCACAGGATCATGGGCTACAGCGAAGGTGTGAGATAGGGCTACAATAGTGTTTGAGGGCTTGGCCAGTAAAGGATCTGCCCCTAAATTTACTCAGTTGGCAGTATTTAGTTCCTCTTGAGGTGTTAGACTGTTGGCCAAAGTCTTGCCTTGGTTGTTTCTCACATGGGCCTCTCATATCTCACAACATGGCAGCTTGCTTTATCAGAGCCAGCAAGGGAGAAGGTGAGAGGGAGTGCTAGCACAATGGAAGTCAGTTTTTTGTGACCTAATCAAGGACATGACAGCTTATCACTGTGGTCATACTCTTTTTTAACAAACTTTTATACTGAAAAACAACAGACCTAGGTTCATACCTCTCTTACCTTATACTAAGATAAATTCAAAATGCATCAGAGATTTAAGTGTGAAAAAAAGGCCGGGCGTGGGCTGGGTGTGGTGGCTCACACCTGTAATTCCAGCACTTTGGGAGGCCAAGGTGGGTGGATCACTTCAGGTCAGGAATTCAAGGCCAGCCTGGCCAACACAGTGAAACCCCATCTCTACAAAAATACAAAAATTAGCCAAGCATGGTGGCGTGCACCTGTAATCCCAGCTACTTGGGAGGCCGAGGCAGGAGAATCACTTGCACCCGGAAGGTGGAGGTTGCAGTGAACTGAGATTGCACCACTGTACTCCAGCCTGAGCGACAGAGTGAGCCTCCATCTCAAAAAAAAAAAAAAAAAAAGCTGTGGCTGTGGCTGAGTGCAGTGGCTCATGCCTGTAATACCAGCACATTGGGAGGCCAACACGGGAGGATCACATGAGTCCAGGAGGGCAACACAGTAAGAACCTGTCTCTACTGAAAACAGACAAACTTAGCTGGGTTATTCTGTTTGTTAAAAGGAGTTACCAGGTCCGCCTCATGCTCCAGAAAGGCATGAATACCAGGAAGCGAGGATCACTGGGGGCCATCTTAGAAGGCTGCTTACCATAACTGCCAACCCGGTGTTTTTATTTGAGGTGCCAGAGGTAGAGGTGCAGTCATACAGAAGGCTCCTCATCTCTTTGAATAAGCCCCCAGCCCATAGCTATTCTGGGTTATTTTTCCAGAAGCTCAGTGACCAGGATACATAGTGAGAAGTAAAAAATATAAAATATTGTCATAGGAAGGGATTTGGGTGAAAGAGTCAGAAATGTGAAAGCCCTAAGGAAGACAAAGGATGTCAAGAAACGTGAAAAAGGGAGGAATGAGGGAATTGTCAGCAAGGACCATTCTCTACACGCAGGTGTAGAGAAAACGAGGAGGTGATTGAGAGGAGTCAACAGCCTCGTGGTAATAATAAAAATCTTCATCTCAGACGGGCACAGTGGCTCACATGTGTAATCCCAGTGCTTTGGAAGGCTGAGACAGGAGGATCATCTGAGGCCAGGAGTTGGAGAACAACCTGGGCAACGTAGTGAGATGACCCTGTCTCTACAAAAAAATAATAAAAAAATTAGCTGGCTGTAGTGGTGTGCACCTGTAGTTGCAGCTACTTGGGAGCTGGGACTCGAGGATTGCTTGAACTGAGGAGCTGGAGATTGCAGTGAGCTAAGAACATGCCACTACACTCCAGCCTGAGAGACAGAGCAAGACTCCGTCCCCTGTCTCTTTAAAGAATAAAAAAATTGGCTGGACTTAGTGGCTCACGCCTGTAATCTCAGTACTTTGGGAGGCCGAGGCAGGCGGATAACAAGGTCAGGAGTTCAAGACCAGCCTGGCCAATATGGTGAAACCCCATTTCTACTAAAAATACAAAAACTAGCTGGGCGAGGCGGCAGGCGCCTGTAGTCCCAGCTACTCAGGAGGCTGAGGCAGGAGAATTGCTTGAACCCGGGAGACGTAGGTTGCAGTGACCCGAGATTATATCGCTGCACTCCAGCCTGGGTGACAGAGCGAGACTCCGTCTCAAAAAAAATAAAAAAAAAGAATTCAAAAATCCCCCCAAACCCAAACTTCATCTCACTTGACTCTCTTTGAAACTCTCAGGCTTCTAAGGAAACCCTTTGTTTCTCCAACTCCTTTCTTACCTCCTTGGAAGAATCCTCTCTCCCTCTTCCCCACCTCTCTTCCGGCCTCACAGAGGCCTCGATGACCTGAGCTCACTCCCTCTTTCCTGTTCCCATTACCTGAGCCCTCCAGCCTCTGTCCCGAGATTTAGGGCTTCTCCTCCCACCTTCCAACAAGAAAAATTGTGTGGAGGAAATTAGACTCCAATGTTTCAGAGGAAAAAAGGTACAAATTCGATCCTGAAGAGGCCGTCAGTGTTTGATACATTCTATTGAAAAGAGTCAGGAGTGTACTCATAGGAAACAAGTTAATCAATAAACTTTTACCCAGAGCAAAGTGACAGTGCACACACATTCATACTCTCTCTGATGGCTTTTATCCGAAGTATTCAAGACCACCCAAAGGATGATAAAACAGAGACAAGCATGTCTGGCTCCAAACAACACCCTTAAACTGGATGATGCAATCATTTGGGGAACCCCTCCCCCAGAGTGAGTGGAGGTTACCAATTCCTAGTTACCTATGAATACTTCAAGTCCTGTCCTTCAAAAGTCAAGGGTTAAAACAGACAAAATGTCATCGCTAATATATCCTAAAACACAAGATGGACAAGTATAAAACCCTTGCCAATAAATAATATTGATAAAGTTTCTCATTTGGAGTGTTCTCTCCCACCAGGTTGGTAGTGGGAATATCCTTTAAAAATTAATCCACTGAAAGGAGGAGGAGTGTGATTGACTCATTGAGGAGGCAGATTTCTAGAATTAACTTTCCTTTGTCTGTACCTCATCCAGAATTGGAGCCCTTCAGTTATAGTTTCCCTCTTAATAAGAATACTAAGATTTCAGAAATTGGTACATGTAAACTACAATCTTAACCTCCCCTCCGGTTTAAAAAGTGTAGCTATCTGGTTTTCTGAGACATTATTTTTTTGTCTGGAGGAAGAAATTGTTGAGTCCGTGTGCACAGGGCTGGCATTGGGAGTGGGGTGAACTGTAAGTAAAAACAAGGGATCTTACTGGGGTGATGGAAATGGTCTAACACTGTGCTGATGGTTGCACAGCTTGGTAAATTTATTTTTAAAAAATCAAAGAATTGTACATTCAAAATGAGCAATTTTATGTTATATAAATGATGTCATTGTAAAGTTATTTTAAAAAGAGGCAGTGTGCAGATCTCTTAAAACCACATCATGCACCTTTTAGTAAGGTGTTACTCTTATTTCCTTCTAAATTCTTTCTTATACTTTAACCCTTTTGGTATCAGATCTTTTTAAAAATCTTAAAGCCTCTAAAAAAGCTGGTCTCTTCTTTCAGTTTCCCTATGTGTTTCATTATTTTGGTTATTTTATACTTAAAAAAATAGTTAGGAACTATAACTAGAAGACAAAATAAATAAAACTCAGGTTAATTTATTCTTCAGAATAAATTGTTAAGGCATATTTATATACTCTGCAGCTATATGTAAGAAGGTGAGAAACGTGCTTTCCTTCCTCCGTTCTTCTCTGTCCTTTCACATGCCTACGTGTATTTGCTTCCCGGTAAGTTTGCGGGACCCAGGTCTTCTGAGTCTAGATCTGTTGTTCATGCTCGTGGACCATATCGGTAGAAATCAGGGGCCTTCCCTGCTGCATCCAGTCATCAGACAAGCCAGTTTTTCCAGTATCTCTTTACCTTTTTACCCAATGAACTTAAGTATTTGGAATGGTTGACCCTTGTGTATATTATAGGTATCAGACTTAAGAGATTAAAAACTCTGCTTAATATTTTATTTTCCGTATAGCTCAAATCTAATCCAAGTGAAAATGAAGAAAAGGAAGCGCAGTCTCAACTTATAAAATCTGATGAAATGCAGCGTTTGCGTTCGCAAGCACTTGATGCTTTTGAAAGTGGAGATTATGCTGCTGCTATAGCCTTCCTTGATAAGATTTTAGAGGTAAGTCTCTTAGATACTGCAGTTGACCAGCCTAACACTTATTGTAAGGCACATTTATATACTTTGACATGTCACATATCACAAAAACCTAGACAGGAGAAAATCAGGTTGGTCCTTGGGCTTTTAACTCAAGTATAAAATAATGTTTATATAAAACAAAATTTGGACTGAAGTTTTCAGTAAATGTACTGAATGTGCTGTAGCATGAGAGTTAAATATGTTTATATATTGCTTGCTTTGCTATTTTAGTTGATTTTGTATTTTTTTGGGAAGAAAACTAGGGGTTAGATAATGGGATAAAAGATGAAAGAGATGGTTGGAATAAAAGGAAAAATGATGTTCGGGAGGAAAGAGGAATGTTTAGAGAAAAATTTCTAGAAAATAAGGCAGATAAAGAGTTGATAGTATGTACCTGTAGTCCTAGCTACTTGGGAGCTGAGGCTGGAGGATCACTTGAGCCCAGGAATTCGTGGCTGCAGTGAGCTGTGATCGCTCCACTGTCCCCCAGCCTGGGCAAGAGAATGGGACCCTGCCTCTAAAAATATTAATAATTGATGAGTACGGTGGCTTATGCCTGTAATCCCAGCACTTTGGGAGGTCGAGGTGGGTGGATCACTTGAGGCCAGGAGTTTGAGACCAGCTTGGCCAACATGGCAAAACCCTGTGTCTTAAAAAGAAAAAAAAAAAAGTGGTAAATGGTGTGGTGGTGCATGCATGCCTGTGATCCCAGCTGAGGCGCTGAGAAGCGGAGGTTGCAGTGAGCCGAGATCATGCCAAAAAAAAAAAAAGAATAATAATAATGGTTGATAGAATCCAGAGAGCTCTAGCTAGGGAAATCTAAGTCTAGGTTTCCTTGCCTCTGAAGGATTTAATGACAACTGATTTCCGAAGGAAGTCTACTGAAATATTCAAATGGAAGCAGTCGTAATTCACATTTGTTTAAGATTTTCACAGTATTTTGATATACAGTTTCATTTAATTTTGGCTCTAAACTTATATGTAGAATGGACATTTTGTTGATAATTTTACAGAAGATATTGTGATATGGTCTAGTAGAATTCATGTTTTACTGGGTTATTTTGTTTATGCTTTAAGGAAATATAGTTTACATTTTTACCTTCCCATAGACCATTTTGACTTAGCTCATTGTCCATGATATTTATGTATAATGTTGATTTTGATATTTTCATATATGTGAAAAGTCAATACGAGTTTAGAACAGCTCTAAGAAATATGCAAAGATACTTCCACCAGCCTTATTGATGAGCTCTTGGGTTTATGATTTGAAGAATACTATTGTGTTTACTAAACCCTTATGAACTTTTTGGGAATAGGGATGGTGAAGCCTCAACCTCCTGCTTTCTCACGGTAGTTTTTTCTTTTCTTTTCTTTTCTTTTTTCTTTCTTTTCTCTTCTCTTCTCTTCTCTTCTCTTCTCTTCTCTTCTCTTCTCTTCTCTTCTCTTCTCTCTTCTCTTCTCTCTTCTCTTCTCTCTTCTCTTCTCTTCTCTTCTCTTCTCTTCTCTTTCTTTCTTTCTTTTTTATTTTTTTCTTGATATGAGGATTTACTTTTAAGGAGGTGACAGTTTACAGAAGATAATTTCTTAAAACATTTTTTTGTTTAGAGACTTGGTCTCTCTCTCTGTTACCTAGACTGGAGTGCAGTGGTACGATTATAGCTCACTGTAACCTCAACCTCCTGGGCTCAAGTGATCCTCCCACCTCAGCCTCCTGAGTAGCTGGGACCACCGGTGTGTTCCACTGCACCCAGTTAATAATTTTAAATTTTTTGTGGAGATGAGATCTTGCTATGCTGCCTAAGCTGGTCTGGAATTATAGGCATGAGCCACTGTGCCCAGCTAAGAATTTAATGTGGTTATTAGCAGAAAAAAGTAGTTTGCCAATTTAGAACCTAGATTTTATTTTTTGACTACAAATTAGAATTGTTGATTAAGTATAAAAATCTGATAACAGAATATTCTCTTCAAATATACTTCACTAGGAACAACCCTTCAATAGTAAATGCTATGTTTTCTTATTTTCAGTGTCTTAGAATTATATAATCGAAGGAGGTAAGAAAAGGGCCTTGTTATTATATATATCCCTTCCCCCATTAGAATTCATTTACAACATTTTTGGAAAAACTATTTTGTCACATCAGTTTTGTCACATTTAAATTGTATCAGATTTTAAAATAATATTTGCAGTCTATAAGTCATCACATTAATTGAGAATGTTTTATGTTGATAAATACGTAGATAAAAAATATGTGGAATGCAACAATGAATGTGCATAATTTTTTCTTCCTTAAAGTCTAGTTCTTTTGTTCCTCAAGGTTTGTGTTTGGGATGCAGAACTACGGGAACTTCGAGCTGAATGTTTTATAAAAGAAGGAGAACCTAGGAAAGCTATAAGTGACTTAAAAGCTGCATCAAAGTTGAAGAATGATAATACTGAGGCGTTTTATAAAATAAGCACACTGTACTACCAGCTAGGAGACCACGAACTGTCCCTCAGGTCAGTCCTAGTGACACACGTCTGATCTTCTTTAATTGTTGGCAGTAAGATAACCTCATCTTGTTTTAACATTTTAATATTAAATTAATAAGATGATGGTGGTTAAGGCTATTTTTATATTGTATATCCATTTATATATTTTGTGTTATTCCCATGTTACTTTAATTCCACATAGTTTGTTTTCATGAAGCTGCTTATTAAAATAAACAGGAAGGCTCTTATATTTCTAGAAACAAAATTGAATGTTTACTTTGTAATGCTAGTAAGTCATTTTAATTTGAATTAACAAATGTATGCATAGTACAATGCCATATATAAATGTGTATAGTAAATTATAAGTCTCAGTATGTTTTTGTTTAATTGTTGCAAACAAAAAATACTTTTACTGTGATTTCTGTATTTAGCGTGGAAAACTACTCATTGATTGTTTTGACATGGAATATTTTCCTTTTTTTAAATACATGAACAGTGAAGTTCGGGAATGTCTTAAACTTGACCAGGATCATAAAAGGTGTTTTGCACACTATAAACAAGTAAAGAAACTTAATAAGCTGATTGAGTCAGCTGAAGAGCTCATCAGAGACGGCAGGTGAGAATACGGTTGTTCCAGCTGTCCAGCCATTCCTTATATGTTAGACGGTGGGCACAAGTGAATTACAGAACTGCTTTTACTTCTCAGCCATTGAGGGTGGGGTATTCTAGACAGCCCTGGGCCTTAGCAAAACTACCAGAACTGGACATTTTTGGAATAGGGAAGAATATAAACAATAGTAACTGTGTAGTATTCTTACCAGCAGACTTACTTGTATTATACCAAATATTTATTATCTCCTCTATCAGGCACTGAGCTGTGTCCTGAGGGTGCAGAAACGAACCTGATGGTAGTTTGTGTTCTTAACAAGTTTATAGCATTGCGTGGGAGACACATATATGAACAGATTATTAAAAGACAATATGATACCAAAGTGATAGAATGTACATAGGATAATTGGAGTATCAAAAAGGAGTATTTACTCCAAACCAGGATGGTGAAGGCAAGGAGTGAAAGAGAAGCTTTTTTTAGAGAAGATGATAGATATTTAAATCCTAATCCTAAAGAGAAAGTAAGAGTGGGCAGAAGTAAGAGACTGTGTCTGTGTGAGTGTTATTTGTAGAGGGTTTGTAGGCTGGGCGGGAGGACTGAAAAGAGTACAGGGCACTGCAGACAAAACTGCCTAATAGAAAATAGGCTCTAATTCCTCTACTTTTAGTAGCTTTGTAAGTTACCATCATGAGAATGCTTTACCCAGTTTCCCCCAACATCTTGCAGACTATAACGCCTTGAAAAACCATAGTACCTTGTCACAATGAGGATATTGATGTGGGTGCAGTCAAGATACAGAATAATTCCATCCCAACAAGGACCCCTCATGTTGCCCTTATAGCCACACCTACTTCCCTGTTGTTCCTATCCCTTCCTTAGCTAATCTAGTCACTTCTAGAATTCTGTCATTGTAAGAATGTTACATAAATAGAATCATACAATGTATAAACTTTTGGGATTGGCTTTTTTTTTTTTTTTTTTTGAGACAATCTCACTATGTTGCCCACCTGTTCACAGTACATTGCATAGTACATTGTACATTGCAGCCTTGAACTGTTGGCCTTGAGTGATCCTTCTGCTTCAGCCTCCTGAGTAGCTGGGACTTCAGACGCATGCTACCACAGCTGGCAGCATGGGCTTTTTCCCCCCTCATTCGAATTCTCTGGAGATTTATCCATATTGTATCAATAATTCTGTTGAGTGGTTTCCATGGTGTGGATTCACTGCACTTTGTTTAACCATTTATCCATTGAAGGACCTGAGGTTGGGAGTTCGAGACCAGCCTGACCAACACAGAGAAACCCTGTCTCTACTGAAAATACAAAATTAGCTGGGCATGGTGGCACATGCCTGTAATCCCAGCTACTGCAGAGACTGAGGTGGGAGAATCGCTTGAACCCAGGAAGCGGAGGTTGTGGTGAGCCGAGATTGCACCATTGCACTCCAGCCTGGGCAACAAGAGTGAAACTCCGTCTCAAAAAAAAAAAAAAAAGTTTTCTGTTTGCAAGTCTGCCCTTTTCAGGTCCTCTGGCTAGAGACAGCAGCCTTCTGCAGGTTTTTGTTACTGTCGTTCTGTACCTGTTGGCATTTCTGCATTGCTGGAATCTTCAGCTCCAAGTCTGGGATATATGAGACGAAAAAAGGAACCCAGGGAACTTCTTACATGTTTTTCCTCAGGTCCTGAGTCACTAGCTAGTCTGTCTTCTCTCCTCCTTTGAAAGTTTTCTATTTTAAAAAATATACATTTAATTTCTAGGGTTTTTAGTTGTGCTTAGCTGGAGGAATTGGGAAAAATACATCTATTCCACTTTCCCAGAAGCTGGCTTTTTTGCTTTTTTCTTTTACTTTAAGTTCCAGGATGTATGTGCAGAACGTGGAGGTTTGTTACGTAGGTAAATGTGTGCCAAGGTGGTTTGCTGCACCTGTCAACCCATTACCTAGGTATTAAGCCCCGCATTCATTAGCTATTTGTCCTGATGCTCTCCCTCCCCTTGCTGCCTGCCCCACACAGGCCCCCGTGTGTGATGTTCCCCTCCCTGTGTCCGTGTGTTCTCATTGTTCACCTCCCACTTATGAGTGAGAATATGCAGTGTTTGGTTTTCTGTTCCTGTGTTACTTTGCTGAGGATGATAGAGAAGCTGGCTTTTATTTTAAATGTTTTAGTTAAGCCTGTGTTTTAATACATCAGCATATTTACATATGAAGATTGTAGCACTTTGGGAATAATGTGCCACCATGGCATAGAAACATATTTTTTAGTTTACTATTGTTGAGGAAAATAACTGAGTATATATATAACAGGATTAGCACTTTTTACTGGTTTAAAGAAAATGCTGAAATAGCTTTTATTCTTAGAAACCTTATACAGTTGGGAATTTAATCAGGTACCTTCTGTATGAACTACATTGTACTTTGTTGTGAATACTGACATTAATTATATAAAATGGCATGTAATGGGTTCCGTTATTTTCATGGAAGTGTTTACTGACCAAGAAATAAAACTTGATCTCTGTATTGTTCAGTGTGCTCAGTATAAGTCAGACTTCAACAGGGTATTTTACTCAGGTTCGGAATTCTGAGCTTGTTTCTGTAAGGAAATTCTTCTGGTTTGATTGGTACTTACAGGTATGCTTTGCTCTGTCCATCTGCATCTCCTATGGTCAGATGTTTTTATTTCTTAACTCTTAATTATGGAGTGTACCTTCTATGGGACTCTAGATTAATAAGGGAAAAGCCAAATCTGAAGCCGTGGCCTCATCCAATTGGATTGATTAAGCAACACATGGTGAAGAGGGGAGGAGCCTTTCTACAGCTCTGGAAATCGAATGTCATCGTTTCTTATCATGATTTGCTCATTTCTTAGATACACAGATGCTACCAGCAAATATGAATCTGTCATGAAAACAGAGCCAAGCATTGCTGAATATACAATTCGTTCAAAGGAGCGGATTTGCCATTGCTTTTCTAAGGTAACAGTTGACTTGTTCCCAGAAATGTGAAAACTCATTATGTGGAATACCAACCATAAATCCCTTTCTCACATTTCCTTTTAGGACGAGAAGCCTGTTGAAGCTATTAGGGTTTGTTCTGAAGTTTTACAGATGGAACCCGACAATGTGAATGCCCTGAAAGACCGAGCAGAGGCCTATTTAATAGAGGAAATGTATGATGAAGGTAAATCTTTAAGGAATTTGATTTGCAGTACCGAAGTGTTGATTAGGAAATTATCACATTTTAAGCCTCCTTTTCCTTAAAACAAGTTTACCAGAGTACCTGGAAATGGTGACGATTTAGAAAAATGGCAGAGAACTTGAAAATTACTCTTCCATAGTGGAACCTGAAAGGTATACCATGTGAGGAAAGAGTTCTGCCATTGAAACCAGTTCAGTACAATAGAAAAATACATATTTTAGCTTTTTTTTGTAGAAAGGAAAAAAATAAAATAGAAAATTTAAATTGTAGTTCTCATGTCATCCAGAGGTAATCACTGTTCATTTTGCATTTATCTTTTCCAGCTTATGTCTATGCACATACATTACTCTATATTTTATGCACATATACATATTCTCTCTCTATATATACACACACACACACACACTCGGTGTGTATGAAACATATATACAGAAAGCATACATATATGTCATATATCCCTAATATAAAATGATCCTCTGTGACCCCAGGCTGTGTAGTAAAATAGGACAGCTGCTGCCCTGTTTTGTTCAAGCCGAATGAAGTAACGAGATTCCTGCTAGATGTCGTGAGGACCTTGGATAAAAGCAGTGTCCTGTTTTTGGAAGAAAACTGTGGCGCATACAGTAATATATAGTTTTTGAAAAATAGAATCCATATATATATGGAGATATATATATATAGTTTTATACTTTTTTTCATGTGACACTAAGTTATGAACATTTAAATGTAACAGTTTTTAAAATAATAGCCTTATAAGCCCTTATTGCAAATATTTTGTTTCAAATTCAGATAAAGCATTTTAAATCAAAAACTAATTTTCTCTTATAGTTAAATGAAGGGTTTGAATGGTAAAATTTGGTTTGTGATACTCTTTTTAAGGCAAAACTGGTCAATCTCTTTTTCCCTGCTTTCCTCAATTAGAAAAGAATCTTGCTCCTAAGCAAGTTCCCGGTTTCCAGGGAATGATAACAACCTGGTCACTACTATTCCTGTGACATCTTGTGGGGGATTCAGACCTTGAGGTCTCTGAATGAGGCTTGAAATGAATGCAGTCAAAATGATGTTTTAATATTCATAAGCATGCTTCAGTAAGGCAGGTAGTCCACATAGAAAATCCCTTTAGCACACTCGTTCTCTTTCCTTTTGAGCCACCGTGTCTACTCGCTGAGATGGTTTTACTCTAGGATTTTGCATTCCAGTTAGTTTTTGGAACTCTTTATCAAAGATACTTTTGTCATCTGTATGTAAACCCTTAGCTCTTACTGCGAAATTAGAGAAGCTACAGAAGAATATAAAGAGCTTAGCTGTTAAAAAAAAAAAAAAAGAAGGCTAAATCTTGTAGAATGCTAAATATAATTTGAAAGATGCTTTTGGAACTTGAATGTTAAACTGACTTGCTTTTTGGGGAAACCTGATGGCTTAATTCTGGAAGAAAAAGATGCTTAGTGCTAATTTGATATAATTGATCTGGTTTCTTTTTTTGTTTTTTTTGGAAATGGAGTCTTGGTCTTTTACCCAGGCTGGAGTGCAATAGTGCGATCTTGGCTCACTGCAACCTCCACCTCCTAATTGCAACCAGTTCTTCTGCCTTAGCCTCCTGAGTAGCTGGGATTACAGGTGTGCACCACCACGCCTGGCTAATTTTTGTACTTTCAGTAGTGATGGGGTTTCACCATATTGGCCAGGCTGTTCCCGAACTCCTGACCTCAAGTGATCTGCCTGCCTTGGCCTCCCAAAGTGCTCGGATCACTTGGCCCTGCCCAGTTGATCTGTCTTTGAAGCCTGTTGTTTCCTTGAAAAAATTCTTTTGTATAGGAATTTATTGAAGAGAGAGGGAGAATGGTTGCCAGCTCTCTAAATTTGCAAAAGAAAGAAAGGAAAAGAGCCTGTATAATTGAAACTGACAAGTATTACCTGACTCGTTTGGATTGGAATCAGGGGTTTAGTAAATGATGTAAATAAATAATAATCTTACTTAACTAAGCTAAATAACAGTATGTCTTCAGTGTACTTGAGTTAGAAATATGCTTTCCATATTCTTCTTCCTGGTTTTACCTTTTTTAAATAAGCAATTAAAAATGATGGCAGGTACATAATAAAGAATGAATAGGTTTAGGTTAGTGAATAATGGAACATGGACATTTATTAATTTGGGGCTTAGAATTATCAGGAAACATATCGGGATATCACTCAATAGAAAGGAAGTAAAGTAAGACTGTTATTTGAGGATGCCTCTGAGATCTTGAAAAATCAAGGGAAATTCTTCAGATCTCTGCATATCTCCATTTTAATAGCTTTTGAGAGGAAGAAACTGACATTGAAGCAATACGAAAATATTGGCAAATTCCTTTGAATATAGGGGTAACACAGGTGTCCTTAGGAAATGATCAGTTATATTTTGCTAGAACTTTAGCTATGTGAGGGCAGAGACCTGTGGCTGTTATATTAACTGATGCATTCCTGGTGCTTGTGCTGGCACTCATGTTTGCTGAATGAATGAAGGTAATTTATTTATTATACAATGAAGTCATAGTGGAGAGTAGGGAATTTAGAATTAGTTCTGCCTTTGAGTCTGGCTTTGTGCAGTTATTCTATTTTTTTTTTTTTTTTTTTGAGATGGAGTCTCGCTCTGTAGCCCAGGTTGGAGTGCAGTACCGTGATCTCAGCTCACTGCAACTTCCGCCTTCCGGGTCCCAGTTCAAGCAATTCTCCTGCCTCAGCCTTCCGAGTAGCTGGGATTACAGGAACTGTGCCACCATGCCCAGATAATTTTTGTATTTTTAGTAGAGACAGGGTTTCACCATGTTGGCCAGGCTGGTCTTGAACTCCTGACCTCGTGATCCACCTGCCTCGGCCTGCCAAAGTGCTGGTATTACAGGCGTGAGCCACCGTGCCTGGCCAGTTATTCTATTTTTTGTTTTTAATTCTGGTAAAAGATACAATATAAAATTTACCATCTTAACCATTTTTACATGTATAATTTAGTAGAGTTAAATATGCTCACATTGCTGTGAAAAAGATCTTCAGAACTTTTTCATCTTTCTAATCTGATCTCTGTACCCATTAAACAGCCGCTCCTTTTTACCTCTCCCTTAACCCTTGGGAACCACCGTTCTGCTTTCTGTCACTATGAATTTGACTATTCTAGATCCTCATATAATTGGAATCATATACTATTTGTCTTATTGTGCCTGGCATGTTTCACTTAGCATAGTATCCTCCAGGTTCATCCATGTTGTGGCATGTGACAGGATTTCTTTTTCTTTTAAGGCTGAATAGTATTCCATTGTATGGATATCCCACATTTTGTTTATTAATTCATCCACTGATAAACATTTGTGTTGTTTCTGCCTTCTGGCTATTGGAGTGGTGTTGCTATGGATATGGGTGTGCAAATATCTCTTTGAGACCCTGGTTTCAATTATTTTGGATATCTACCTAGAAGTGGGATTGCAAAATCATATGCTAGTTCTTTTTTAATTTTTTGAGGAACCTGCATACTGGTTTCTGTCATGGTTACACCATTTTACAATTTTACTAGCAGTGTATAAAGATTCTGATTCTTTCACATCCTCATCAACACTTTTTTTTTTTGAGACAGAGTCTTGCTCTGTCAGGCAGGCTGGAGTGCAGTGGTGCAATATGAGCTCACTGCAGTCTCCACCTTCTGGGTTCAGGTGATTCTCCTGCCTCAGCCTCCTGAGTAGCTGGGATTACATGTGTGTGCCACCACACCTGGATTTTTATTTTTATTTTTTTTTATTTTTAGTGGAGACAGGGTTTTCACCATGTTGACCAAGCTGGTCTCAAACTCCTGACCTCAAGTGATCCACCCGCCTCAGCCTCCCAAAGTGGTGGGATTATAGGTGTGAGCTACCGTGCTCAGCTGGTCAACATTTTAGATTTTCTCTTTTTTTGATAGTAGCCATCTTAATGGGCTTGAAGGTGGTACCTGGTTTTGGTTTTGATTTTGATTTGTATTTCCCTAATGATTAGTGATGTTGAGCATCTTTTCATATGCTTGTTGGCCATTTATATATTTTCTTTGGAGTATGCCATTTATTTTTGCTATATGGTTTCAATCAAGTCATTTAATTTGTTACTTTTTACTCTACTTATCTGTAAAATAGGAATAAGAACAGTACTTATCTCCTAGAATTGTGGTGGCTATTAAATAAGATGATGCTCAGAAAATGTTCAGCTGCATCTAAATCAGTGGTTTCCACTGTACTCATTTTCAGGCTGTTTGGAACTTACATTGACTTTTCTGTACAAACAATATTGTGTGGGATACCTAGCTAGCTAGGACTAACCTGTGACTGGTGCATGATCTCCCTTTGACACAGCGGTTATTGTAGTGTTACTAGTAAGATCAATAATTCTGTGAATAGGGCCAAGTAGAGTGCTTTCTCTGGATGAAGGCTGGCCTGGGCAAAATTGTGAAAGAGGTAAAGTTTATCTTTTGATTCCCTAGGGTGTTGTCCTATTCGCAGATTCTTGTGCCCTCTTGCTTATCCTGGGACTCCACCCTGTCATACTACCTAGGCCCGCCCTATCCCACAGAAGTATTCTGTGTTCAAAATTTATACCGGCCGGGCATGGTGACTCACACTTGTAATCCCAGAATTTGGGAGGCTGAGGCAGGTGGATCACCTGAGGTCAGGAGTTCGAGACCAGCCTGGTCAACATGGTGAAACCCCATCTCTACTAAAAATACAAAAATTAGCCCGGTATGGTGGTGTGCACCTGTAATCCCAGCTACTCGGGAGCCTGAGGCAGGAGAATCACTTAAACCCCGGGAGTTGGAAGTTGCAGTGAGCTGAGATCAGGCCATTGTATTCCAGCCTGGGCAACATGAGCAAAACTCAGTCTCAAAAAATATATATATATACATACATATATATATATACACACACACACACATATACCACCTCTGTGTATCAGCAGTATCAGCCCCCAGCCCAGCTGCGTTTTAGTAAGAG